TCCCATTACCACCGACACCGTGCTCCGCTCCCAGTGCTGGTGTAGCGTAGCTGCCAGGGCTCCGACGGGGGAGCACGGGGAAACCCAAGATGACTGAGGAGCATCAGAAAGGCCCAGCAAAGTCAGGGGAATTGAGTTCAAAGTCAGCCTCAGAGCACACATGCTCAGTTATTAACATGCACTCGTTCAGGCTTAAATCCTCCTTTAACTGGAGCCTGAACTTATTGTCTTTGTGTGTTTATCATTCGCGGATTTCTTTAAAATTGTTAATGCGGAATGGTTTACAGACAGCTTCCTCTTGCTCCTGAATTGTGAGCTTGTAAGCCTAGTAATGCATGGGAGAAATCATCCAGTGGGGGAGCAGCTTAAAAAAGAGCAAATTCTGTTCCAAGAAGTCTCACGGGTGCAGAGTTCACTTTCCATTTAATTTTGACTAGCTACAGACAAGATGTAAGGATGAACTAGTTGGGCTTTACTCATAGTTGCCTGAATAATTAGAGGTGGTTGACAAGCTGGGGGGAAAGGCTCGATGAAAATTTTGCCTTTTTTTTGCCAAAGCCTCAAGTAGTGTTTAATTTGTCTGGAAATATTAATGAGCTTGCACTGGGCTGTAGAAATCTTTGTTTGTTTAACTTGCAGCAACCCACCCTTGTTGGACGCATTCCCATTTGCCACTTTTTGATCAACAAAACTCATTTCAAGTTTAAAGAAATATTCTGCCTTGGGCTGATAATGCCGCTGGCATGCAGGAGGGCTGCGGGTGGGAGGAGAGAGGAGCCAGCGCTGGCTGCGGGGGCTCTCAGGAGCGGGGGCGAGGGGCTCCCCACTCATCTCAGAGCCCTTAGGAGCTGCAGGTCACCTCGGTGACATGAACATGCACCCAAAGGCTTGATGTGGATATAAATGAGCACCTATGATCAATGCAGCTCACTGTAGGTAAGGCAAGGAGTCCTGTGGACTAAGGAGGTTTTAATTTATGGCTCTTTATTCTTTGCTGAGCTTAAAGCTTTGCAATGACAGAACATTTCTTTCTGACTCTGCCCTTCGCCCCCTTCAAGGCTACTGAAATACATATAATATAATGATAGAAGATATGTCTCCAGACTCCTCACAGATTGTTTACCAGAAAGACAAAAGCCTGGAAAGTTACATGTGTTAATTGAAGATAAATCTTTCCTCCCCTTGCAAAATTTGGGACAATTGTTACTAATGACCTCTTTGGATCTGTGCCCAGGATGCAGAGATATCATCTCCCAGTCCCAGTAATGAGGTTGCAACTGATCCTGAACAAATGGCAAAGTTATTTAATAATTATTTTGTAAGGTCTGCTCATGACCTTTCAGCTCGTCAGGATAAGTAGTGCCAATTTATCACCAGTGCCATGTGAAGGGGTTTGATTATTTGAGATGTTTTTCCTGGCAGGAACTTGTTTTTCCCCCTGTTTTCTGAGTGTTTTAAGGGATCCACCTTCTGTGAATACAAATACGGTTGCTGCCTGACTGCATGTGGCGATGGATTTTTGCCTGGGGATGGGAATATTTTTCCAGTTCATCCAAGAAACAAAGCAGCCCCAGACCCTTTCCTCATTGCAGCAGGAGATGAGGACCCTGAGCAGACCAAACGAGCCCTGTTCTGCAGCAAGGACAGAGCGCTCCCGGTGCTGGACTCTGCAGGTTGGGCTCTGCAGCACGGGAAGCCCAAGAAAGGGCATCAAGTACACGTTTCCAGAGGAGATGGTGCAGACAAAACAGAGATGGATTTATTCCAGCCTGTGTTTGCTGAGCTGCTGGGATCCTGCTGGAAAAATGAGCTGGCTGATCCTGTGTTCAGAGAGCCTGCTCTATTCCCCGCAGAGCCTGAAATTTATGGTTTTTATCATGATAAAGAGCATGAACAATATCCGTAAAGGCTGATCAGGGACAGGACTCGAGCTGGCAAGAAGTGCCTCTGGACCAGGAGGAAGGTCTGTCTCGCCCAGCATCTGCACCACCGCTTGGATCAGCCACAGCTTCCCTCATGTGGGTGGGATATTCGACCGAGCTGTGCCCAGGCAGCCCCATCCCCATGCTCACTGGGACCCAGGTTCAGGAGGATGCTGTGCAGCTGCTGGTGTGGACGTGCTTACAAATGCTCCTGGGCCAGGCCAGAGTAGGCAGCACGACCACGCACACACGAACCCTCTCCAGAGGCAGGAAAGCCACAGTCCCTTCAGGCTGTGTGCTACACCTTGCCACCGCACTGAACTGTTTTCCCAGGTTGTCTTCAGCTCTCCTTCCTCTGCTCCCCCTGCCCTGCCCACTCGCTCACAAATCCAGGCAGGATCAGCCCCAGCCCAGTGCCCGCCTGCTCCCTCCTCCACCGCCACGCGTGCCAAGCCTCTGCCTTCTCCTTTCCTGGGGAAAGCAGCCCAAAGCCTCTTACAAAACTGACTTATAAGCACCCCTCGGCTGTCCTGTTTGTATAACCATTCACAGACAGCCTTGCCTTTCATTTCCTTAATCTTAAATTGCATCAAAAAGGCAGAGATTAGAGGTAAAACCTCAATAAAAGACTGAACAAAAGCCTTTGCCCACATTGGATTCTCATGCCTAGCTTTGCCTTATTTTTTTTTTCTCTGCTTGTCTGACAGGCTGAGTATCTGAACCTTTAAAAAAAAAATAGAAAAAAAAAAAGAAAAAAACACCTAAGATTAAAACACTATTTAGAAAAGGCCATGCCAGTTTGAAATCACCTGTGGTTCATACATTAAACATCAAATGTACATTAACTCTGAATTATGGTCATGAAAAGCAAATCCTTTAATACCATTTTCTGTGTTCCACAGGCTGAAGCTTAGCATTAATAGTCCTGTTTTTTCGCAACCCAGTCAATGGAGTACTACTTTCCTGCCTTTTATTATTCCTCCACATTTGGAGATGTTCAAATGTTCCCGCTCCAGGAAGGAACACACACACACACACACGCAGAAAAGCAGAAAGCGCAAACAGAAATGTTGGCCGGGCGCCTGCTCGCCACTGCCAGCCCTCCCAAACATTTCCAAATGGCGGTGGCAGCTGTCAGTGTTTTGCTGGCTGTTTAAGTGCATCTCCAAATGCCAAGGAGCTGATGCTACCTTCTTCCCTCTGAATGAGCAGAACGGCTCCAAGAAGGAGGAGCGGAGAGGAGCGCCTGGAGAAGCCTCAGCTCCCACCCGTATCAGCCCGCTGGAAACCCCTATGCCCGGGTTTGCCTTGCACCTCCTTGCCCACCTCACTCTTTCTGTAGTTTTCAGCATCTAAGAAAATAAATCCTTCCCAGTGCCAATGGGGCTTTCCTTTACTTCCCTCAGCTTTGCCTCAACCTGAGGGGTGTGTGGGCAGGGAGCACCGGGCATCACTGCACACCCCTGTGGTGCCCAACACGGTGCTCGGAGAGACGGCTGCCAATGGACCAAAGCCAATTCATCAGACATAGGGTGCAGCCCAGGGTGTCAAAAACCTTTCAACCCTGGCATTGATTCAAAAATATAAATCCCCAGCAGATTGCCAGGGTATGCTGCAGAAGTGAAGTACCTGTCCCTGGAGGAGGAGCGCAGTGAGGGAATGTCTCCAGTTTTATGGGGCAAGGGCTGGGGAGCAGTTCTGTTTTGACAGCACAGCAGCTCAATATTACGCTTGTAAGATATCTCCTCGGCACAGAGTTGGGTTTACACTTAACAACTTGAGAGAATTGTCTGATAGGCAACACAGCAATAAATAATAAATCCCCCAACTGCACTTCTGTCCTAAAATAACACAACAATTAAAGAATAGAATAGCAGCGGTGACAACAAACAAGGAAATCAAAGCATCGGCACAGGTTACTCAGACAGACACCCCCCTGGGTGACATTGCTTTAAAGAAAGAAAATGGTGTCTTAAAAAGGTACCTGGAAAGGGGAGGCTGAACCCCTGGCACTGAGTGGACAGCATTACCTCCAGACACAAAGGAGCCAGCTCCTGTTTTTATTTCAGACCGTTATTGAAAGTTGTCAGAACTTGTCCTGCTTTTCTCTTTTTATTATTCTTATTATTATTAATGTGTAAATAAAGTGCCCCAGGAGTGTTACCGGCACACAGAGTCTAATCCTGGGAGATTAATTTATGAGCGCGGAATAGGGTGAACCAAACTCGCGGCTTCTGTAAATTGCTGTCGGTTACAGCCAAGCGTGCCAGCCGCAGCAAAACAAACAGGACTCCAAACGCCTCGCTCGGAGGCAGGGGGGACAGGAACAGCAGCCCAGGAAGATAATAAGACACTGAGTTTGGTATTTACGCACAGCCTTTCTTCCCAAAGGATCCCTGAGTGTTTTGCAAGCCAGACTCCAGCTCTGCTTATCCCTGACAGAGGCACAGCCAGTACCGGCTTCCCAGCGCTTTTCTAGCAGTGCGTATCAGATTGCGTGCGGGGGAAAAAAAGGGGAGGCAAGACCCTCCAATTATTTTTCTCTAGCAGAAATGACCATCAGGAAGGATTACAACCCGTTTGTTCCAGGTCCAGTACAAGCAAGCAATAAAAAGACCTCCGCACTCAACCCTCGCCCACTTTCCTGCCGCTGCTATAGCTCCCCGCCGGGCAGCGTGGGCAGAGCCCCTCGCAATGTGCCTGAGAAGGCAAACACCTCCTTGCAGCTCAGCCTGCCCCTGTACGTGTCCCCTATGCTCTCATGTGTGCCCCTGCTGTGACGATGCCACCTCCAAGCAGCCGAGAAGAGTGCCCGGAGTGAGCCCGTCTCAGCCCTTGGGCTCTAAGTCTGGCTGCTCGTGGGGAGGATGGATGTGGGTGACTAGGAGGGCTTTGGAGGGCGAGTGCTCACCAAAAGTGTTTGTGGCATCACGTCAGGGGCCTGCACGGGGCCAGGGTTAACATTTTGGGGAGGGGAGGAAAGGAGAACCAATTCCCCAAGGCAAAACAAGCTCTGCCTGACCCTCGCCCTCTGGTCACCCTGCAGGCTGCAGGTTATCACCACCGAGTTTTACTCACGATTTACGTGGTGCACCACAGTGATTTTGAGCAGGAAATGCCAGCAGAAGGAACCAGGGGAATGGACCCACACTGCTGCTTAACCCAGCAGAGAGATGAGAGGAATCCAAGGGGCAGGGGCAGCCCCTGCTTCCAGGCCGCCAGGTGAGGCACAGCCATTGCTCACCCCGATCTCTGGATGCATTTCAAAAAAAAAATAAATCAATTTTTCTCTAATGCGTCCAGTTTCAGCAGATCCAAATGCTCTTATACATCTGGAGAAACAGGCCCTCAAATCTCCTCTTCTAAACAAGCCTGAGGCCCCCTGCATCCCGAGCACTCCAGCCCCTTCCCCAGCTCTGCAGCACTGCCCACGGTAGGAGGCTGGCTCCGCTCTGCAGCTTTCCTCCTCTGTTACCAAATCCCAGCTTCCGCAGCGGGACTTTAACCTGATTTATTTTTTATCTTCCAAACATTTACTTTCTCATGTATAAATATTGAGTTGTGTGGAGGCTGAAGCAAATGCCCGGTGCAGACGAGCAATGATAGCAGCAGCACTCTGACAGGGTTATTTTTAAATACAAGCTTTAAAAATTACAGGGCTCCCAAGATCTTTTATTTCTCAGTCTAATTCCTTTTTTCATTTGTAAAAGACATAACAAACATGTTGCTTCTGACTTCATTGATTATTTTCCCATCTCTGCCTGTGGTTAAGCGAAGGAAAGGAATTATTGCTTATAAATAGGAGAAATCTTCACGCAATACATTAAGAAAGCAGCCCCTCAGCTACCAGAATTCACGGTAAAGTATTACCTCAATAACACAGTCAGGGAGACCAACATGGAAATAGTACCAGCTGCTTTTGGGATGACCGCTTTACAAATGGGCACATCCTCATCATTAATATTGCATTCCAACCATAACTTCTTGACTTGCCAGAGCTACCACGGCCTGTCATTATTTTAAGGCATTCTCTGCCTTTCCTTCCAAAGCAGGTGAGCAGCACTGGGGTTACATTTCTCCCTGGAGGGGGAAGCCCTCAGGCACAGGGGACTGTTGTGTCCAGGGGGCAGAGCAGCCACCCCACCAGGCAGGAATGGGGCAGAAAAATGAAGGGGAGACCTTTCCTTTTCACTCAATCCCAATAAAAAGTTACAAGACACGTAGGGCTGCTTTTGGGAAGAAGTCTGCTGTCCCAGACCTTTTGCCAATTTGCAGAGCAGCCCCCAGAGGCTCCGGGCAGGCTCCACACCCCCACAGGGCTGGCTGCTGCCTGACAAAAGGGGTGCCCTTGGGAGATGGAGGGTTCCCAAGGAAGGGCTGCCCCCCGTGTTTTGCCTTAATGAACCCCAGCATTTACCACCAAACATGTTTGCTCCTCAGAGTGCTGCACTCTGAAAGTTTCTTCCCGAGCCTGTTGCTTTCCAGGATACCAAATGCTTTGTAATTGCTGTTCATAAAGGCAGTGGACAGTATTGCCAAGGAAAATAACTCCTAGCTGTAAATCTTAATAATAAAAATCATCAGACCCTTGCTTTTCTATTTGGACACAATGCCCTAGAGAAAGCCGTACGCTGTATGCCTTCCTTAGTGCTCCCGTCCTTTCCTTCCCTCTCTCTGCTCCAAAAACCCAATGCAGCTTTGAAGACAAGATTATTGCAAGGATATCAGGGGGACACAGAGGCTTGCCACTGTCGGTGATGTGAAGATTTTTTTTTTTCCAGCTTTCTGAGCCTGGAGCTGCAAAGGGCTCACGCAGCCAGGTGATGTGGGGTCGAAGCCTGGCTCTGCAGGAAGAACAGGGGCTCCGAGCTGCTTGTTACAAACCCTCTCCTGCAACCCACAGAGGTGTGCACGGGGCTCAGATTGGCCCCTCCGAGTCACAGTGGGCTCTGGGTGCAGCAGGATGGGGCAGCGACACCCCTTCCCTCTCTGCATCCTCTTCAAGAATGAGGCACAGCAGGCAGAGCTGTTTTTTTTCTTCTTCCCTTCTTTAAGGGAGTGGTTGATTAATCCTTTCTGAAAATTACTGCCTCTGAAGCACTCCCATTTGGTCATCCAAAAACAGAGACTCCCCAAATCACTATTTTCTTTCCAAATTACAGACCAGAAGCTTTTACAGCCACCTCAGTAGTTTGCATCTCTCCTAAGGCAGTAATGACTGAACATGTTAAACGTAAGATGCCTGCTTCCTGGCCTTCTCCATGAAATGGAGAAAAATTATTCACAAAAACAGCTACTCACACGTTATCAGCAGCATATATTTTCTTATTTTTCCTTCCTTTCTATTTTTTTTTTTTTTTTTACCAGGAAACATTGTCATTGGGTTTTGGGAAAAAAAAAAAAAAAAAAAAAAAAAAAAAAAAAAAAAAAAAGATTTTAAAGCAATATTTTATTTCCAAACAAAGATTTTTCTCAGAAGTTTGTATGGGCAGAAAGATGTATTTCCCGATCAATACTGTGAGCTGCTCCAGTGACCGAGGCCCCTTGCAGGGGAGCACCAAATCACCTCGGGAGGCAGCGCTGTGCCCTGTGGTCCCCGGCTCCTGCACGTGGTGTGAGCTTGGCCAGGAGCCATCAGGGCTGGGAAGGTCACATTTTGCACAAGAATTACCTTTGTACAAATGTACAAAGGTGTATGTTTTTAATTTAATCTTTGAATTCAGATGGATCCAGTTCTTTCTCCCTCAACACACTTTTCAAACAGAAAAACTTTGGGGCAGTGGCAAGTCTGGAAAGACAGAAAGCTGTCTAACCCGAGCTGACAAAAGGGAAAGCAAACGTCCCTGCTCAAACAAGTTCTCCCGTCTGCGCTGACAGCTTGCCAGGCATGCGAGATAGCTCTTTTGATAATATTTAATATGGCTTCGATATAATGATGTCACATTATTTGCAATGACACTGGATCACTTCTGGAAAAAAAATTGCATGCTGTGCCTATCACTCGGAGCTGGAATGAATTACGGCTCCTGACAACGGCCATCTCGCCTCCCCGGCTGCGCTCTGCCAGGAGTTCCCCACAAGATTACTGGGGTATGAGACTGTAATGGTACAAGCAGTCAATAATTCAAGGGTTATTGATTGAAACCAGCCCTATTCTTTTTTAATTTATATGTTATCCAATTTTTTTTCACCTGTTTTATTTTTTTCTTCTTCATCCGAGGGCTCCAGGGCTTTCTCTCCTGACAAAAGCACCTGCTGGACAGGGCTGCCTCATATTCAACTTATTACTTTCTCCCATTCTTTAAATTGCCAAGGTAATTCGCGCAGCACTTACAGGAGCAGAGTGCTGGCAGTGCCACGGGGAGGGCAGGATTCGGGAGCGGCTGGTCCTGGCCCCACACAGCACCGGGTCCACTGCTGGCACTCCGGGGAGGAGCAGGGCATCCCCAGCATGGCCTGGGAGCAATAAGGGATGCGAGGCACCAGCAGCCTCGTCCCACTCCCTCCTCTCTCAACCAGAATTCAATTATCTCCTCCCCATCCGTTTCACCTTGAAGGCAATGAGCAAGCTCCCCGTAACAAGCAGTTGAGGCTCGCAATGGCCACAACAAGACAATTTTAACCTTCATTCTGCAAATCGCTCCTCATATGTTACATTTCATAAGATCTAAATGACCCATGGCTCTTCCCTTTATATTTTACTGTCTCCCAGACACGGCTCTCTCTTTTTTAACCCGCGGTTTTGAATGCGCTTCCTTGCCAAGGCAGGGGACTAGGTTCCTCTCCAGCTCAGTGTTTCTGAATTTTTGTTTTGTCACACCGCTCTGTTCCTAATGAGCTGTTAATGATATGACCATTACCTATGCAAATTAGGAAAGCAGATTCAGAGGGTGTTTTTTACCTGGAGAGAGAGAGGCTGCTCCCTTAACACAGGAGATAATAAATCATGCTAGTGTTTTTGTTAAACTGCAACTCTTATGGGACCCAATGCGCTACAAATCTCAGCTGCAAGCTGCAGCAGCACAATCAACACCTTCTGCAAAATGGCACCGGACACTTAGGCAGGGAAGAGCCAGCTCTACCTCTGTTTTAATTAGATGAACAAATAAAATGTGATGTCTAAATGCCCTCAGCAGCCATAGCCAGGCTGCTCGGCCGTGATCTCAGCCGGCGGTTAAACGCCCCTTCCTCTCCAAGCGTGGCTTCAGGCTTTGGCAGAGGCTGCCGTAGCTCCTGGACCACAAACCAGAAAGAAGAGCAGCTCTTCTCCCCCTTGAAGCTTTCCCTTTGGAGATCCAGGGCACCTGAGTGCGCTGTGGGGATCCGGGGAGCCCCGGGTAGGGGACGGGGCCACCTCCTTGGTGCCAGCTGCTGCAGAGCAGCCACATGCCTTCCCCATGGCCCTGTTCCCCAGCTATCAGTGCCTTTATGTTACTGCCACATCCACACAAGACTGGGGTTCCCTTGTGCTCACATGGGCAGGAGCTGCCAGCATTTCTCACACGGGACACGCACAGCACTGGCTCACCGTGCCAGTTTTTCCCCAAAGCCCCCTGAGCCTGGCTTGGGGTATCTCTGGGTCGTGTCCAGGGCACCCCCCTGAGCTGCCCTGGGAAGATTGGATCTCAGCTTTCACGTGTCTTAAAGCCTGGCTGGTCGTAGGAATCTCTCTCCAGAGCACTTATCCTTCCTTTTCTTTTGGTGGTGTTTAATTAAATATCTCTTTGTTTGAAGGGAGCCGCTGGTGGCTATGAGCTCTCCTATGCTTTATCAGTGAGCACAATGAGATAACTGTCCAGAATCTTGCCTGACCTTTCTGCAGCTCACAAAAAAATGGTATTCAGTGGTTTCGTTCTTCTATTCTCTCACATTATCTCTCGCTTTTCTACTCTGTGCCGCACGCTAAGGTTTCTGATAGTGACTTATGAGTTGCTATCAAAAATATTAAGAAAAGAACCTAAAATATCCCTGGCAGTTTAACAGCCTTGAAAACAGAATGGCCTGTCTCTCGCTGGCCATTGCGAGCTGTTGCCAAGAGCATGGAAGGTCAGACTTTAATGAACTGGTGAGAATTAAACAGAAGAAATGAAACTGAAAGGTGCCCTAGTGGCTTGAACTGACTTTAAAGCAGCTGACCTTCGGAAAGAATGAAACAGTTTTGGTTCTTAAATGTTCAAGAGTTGTTTTTCGTTTCCATCTTTGCAGCACGATGCTTCTCAGATGAACGGCCGTGCTGGCCGGACCACCGATGCTCGGGACCTGGGTGCAGATGCTGCCTGCAGATGGCTGTGGAGAGGGCAGGGCGATCCCCTGCCTGTTCTCCACCTCTTGCAGAGCTGAGCAAGCACCCAGCTCCATCCTGCTCGAGGCCAGGCATACAGCTCATCCCCAGGACCCCAGAACCTGCAGGTCCCCAAGGCCAGAACCCATCTCCCCTCTCCCCAGGTGCACAAAGCCCTCACCAGCACCATCCTGGAGATCCGAGGCTGCTGCTCTGAGCTAAGCTCAGCTTGAGGGCTATGAGGAGACTGCTGATGCAGAGACAAGAAGGCAGAGGGCAATGACTTGTGCACTAAGGTTTAAAACTAAATTTCTAGACGTTTTCTGAAATTGTGCCTGGGAGGAAGAGGTCACACTGGAATAGCCAGGCTCTTGCTCACAGAGGCATCCTGAGTTTTATAATTTTCCCTATACCTTTTACAGGCCAAACAAATAAATGAATAGGTAAAAATAATAAGGCTGGTTTCTTGCAGAATAATTGTTCCAGGCAGTTATTTATTAATGAGGAGAAACAACATGTCAACAGACAGCAGGGCTAGCTGTAGAACTAACGCTAGCGAAGGCACAGGTTACAAGCGAGCCAGGGCTGCTGTCAGTCTGTGTTTGCTAAACTCTGTGATCATCAGTTAATTACCCCTGCGTGGATGTGCTCCTCTGCAGGAAGACCTCCCCACGGTGTGGACGGCACTCGGAGGGGCTCTGGCACCTGCAGCACCTGAAGCAAGGGAAGGAAATCTCCCCGGCACTCTGCAAACAGGTCCAGGCAGAAACCACATGGAAAGCCAATAACTTGGTGCTGAGATAACGTGAGAGCTGAATTGGGTCCCATTTACTGTTACCTTCTTTACCAAGCTTTGTCTCTTTTCACTCCAAAGATCAGCTTTTTACATCTTTCATTATTACTGGGGGCCTTGAGTGACCACGTGCATCTGGATGAACCTCGCCACAGCCCAGCCACCTGCCCTGGAGGTGCACAGCTCAGGGCCACCCTTGGCCATGCAGGCAGCTCTGGGCTGGCTCCGTGTCACTGCGACTGCAGAACAAGCCTGTGTGGCCTACAAGAGCTGCTGCATGCCATTAAACCCACATCGCGTCCTCACCACCACCAAAAACCTGCATTTTCCCCACTGGAGGTGTCACATTCAGGAGGCTGGGCAGGACCAGGTGGTTTCCAGGTGCCTGGCAGCCCTTCCATGTGCTGTGTTTCATGAGCTCACAGTTCCCCAGCCTCCAACACAGCTTCTGGACCTTTTCCACAGCATTGTCTGGAGCAACCCAAAAACTCGGTCTACTGAAGTCCCCCCCAGCCTGGGGAGGCAGGCAGCAAAAAGGGCTGCGGATGTGGCTCTGCTGCCTGTACAAATAGCTTCCTGCAGTCATTCGGCAGTGATAAGGGCAGGCAAGCAAAGTTGGTAAAATACAAACTTTCATTGAAAATATTCCTCAGCATGACGCGTATCAGCAGCAGCACAGTGAATAAATCCATTTTAATGGAATTATCCATTTCAGTTCCCAACTTAATTGAGCTTTGCCCTGCAACTTAGCACAAGGGTGCCTCTCTTAATTAACCCCATGCAGGCTGCAGTGTTTTACTATCACTTACACACGTACCCAAAGGTTAGTTTGAGAGACGCTATCTATGCGACGTGATTTATCATGGTTTGAGAGCTCAGCTGTCACGGGGAGAAATGTCCCCATTTTTATTCAGCAGCACTGGATATGAAATTGTGCAACTGCGGAGTGAGGAGGAGCTGCAGAGCCCGTCAGTTGTGGTTTATGGGACGAAGCTGTCAGGTTTGGTTACTGGCGAGGTGCGTTGTAAGCAGAGCTGCTAACAAGCAGAGCCTCGGAGCGGGGCTGCGTGGGCTCACAGCGACTCGGTGCCGTCTGCCTGCACGAGCACACCGTACCTGTGCAGGGCTCCCAGAAGAGCTCACCCGAAGCCCAGCCAGAAGTGGGCCGCCAGTAAAATGCCTGGCATCAGCAGGGGTGCCCAAAAAAAACCCACAAGGGGTTTAGCTGCACTGTAGAGCTCTGGGGCGGCTGTGTTTTGGTCCGTGCACAGCTCTGTCCTGGTGTCCCAGCACCAACAAAGGTACAGGGGGTGAGGATGATGGGGAGGAGATGGGGTCACACAAGGAGACAGCCCCAGAGCACCACGTGCCCATAGCACGCACCCAGGGAACTGGCCAGGACAGCGGCCAGCCTCAAGGGCGGTAAAGACCACGCATGCACCGTGCTTGAGACGGAAAAGTTGCTCTAGCTGACAAGTTTCCTCCTCCAAGATAACATCTCGCACTCTCAGGGACACACTAAGCCCAAAGAAGCCTGTCCAGCTACTTAATAAGTCATTGAGGATGAGTAGTTTAATTAACTTACCCAAAATTTCTCCTTTCTCTTTCCCATTTTTGCTATTAATATTTTTCTCTATCTGATAATGCAGCATAGTTAATTCTTTCTGGCTTTATAATGAATGATGCCGTGATGAAAAAAGGTTAGCAGTGCTTCAGGCAGCTTTTAATTATCCAGCTGAGCAGGTAAAAGCACTTTATTCCTTGCCTTCCCCCCTGCATGCAACACCTTTGCTTGGCAATTAACTGGGGAGTGCGGCGGCTCTTTCTGCACCTTTTTGGTTTCCAACAAGAGGAGCTGTGAAGCTCGTGGCACCCCCAATTTTCTACTGCTGCCCACCAGGCACAGCCTGAGTCTCTGCTGAGGAAGAGGAGGGACGGGTGCTACCGAAGGCTGATCTAGATGGGACATGACTCGTGCCCTGTCTGGGCAAGGGGCTGCCCAGGGCCATTTCCTACAGCCCAGAGAGGATGAAGAGGAGACTTCAGCCCCTGCAGCAAGCACCAGCACAGCTGAGGACCTCTTGCTGCATCAGAAAAGATCTGCTGGCACTGCCAAGGCCAGACCTTGCAGGGCCTGGTGCAGCCCTGGAAGCTTAGCCAATAAATTGAATATTTACAAGGCCATATATACACAACAGCACATCCGTAAATCAGAAGCAACTCCTAGCAAAACTTTTTTTGGTATAAATAAATCACTATTTTTACAAAATAAATTAGGTGCCCAGAACTCTCATCGATCACCAGGCAGGTAAAGGAGCTCGGTGCGAGCAGCCAGGAGCCGCGGAGCGCTCAGCGCGCTGCTGGGAAGGTGGCAGGAGACGGATGAGGAATCAAAGCGAGCAGAAGAAATTTGCTTCTAATTCAGTTCCTCTGTTTTTAAAAACTCATATATACTCCGTGACATTTGCTGCATGAAGGGTCAGTTATGGGGTGGCTTCGGAAGCTCACAAAGCCAGGCTCTGTAACCAGAGCCAGCAGCGCAGCCCCCGGGGTCCCCGTGCTGGGCACGGCGCTGAGCCCGGCAGCATCCCCCAGCAAAGTCACCTCCGGCCCGCGGAGCACATTTAGCTTTGGTGAAGGCTATTGCAGCCGTTCGGGCTGTAAGTGGAATTCATAATCTCCTGCAATGACCCATGAAAACGGCCGCATTACACGCTTTCCCATCGAGCGTTTCTTTATCTTGGCTGCTGCGAGGCTATTTCTTTTCATCAGCAGCGTGACCCTGGCGGCACTCACACTGCCTGCCCGGCTGCATCGCGAGGTGGGGAAACTGAGGCACAGGCAGCGACCCTGGCCTGCCCAAAATCCCAGGTCCAGGTGAATTTCACCTCCTGCCCCACCAGCAGCACCGCTCCGGCCAGGACACACAGCAGCCCAACAGCTGTGTTTGTTTCCCTGCTTTAAATCCTGAATGGAAATGTCACGAGGACAATCACCATGGTGACATTTCAGCAGCTCCTTATAGAGCTATGCGGGAAATGAATTTTTTTTTTAAAAAAATCCCTATTAAAAATGGAATGACAAAAACAATTTTCTGCCTGAAATTTGTTCTGAGAGGTTTTTATGGACTTTTTAAAAGAGAAATGTTCCCAGCAAAGAAAGTTTGAAGTGTTGGGTGTTGTAAGGGTTTCATTTCTTTTTTAATGAAAACTCAGACTTCGCTGGAAAGATGACTTTTTCTATACATTAGTAGTTTGCAGAAATAAAACTCTGTTGAAACACCTTTTACCAAATTTTTGTGAGAAACATTTCATACTAGACTGCAGCGTAAGATCATTGGATACAACAGAAATGCTTCTGGCACGGAAAAATAAGCACGGGTTGTATTTTTGTATGATAAGGCCCTAAGACAACAGGAAAAAACGTGAATGCACCCCACCACAAACGCACCAGAGGTAATTTAAAGCATTATATGAAATCCACTGAAATTAGAGCACCAATTAGTGCCACGAGGCTGGAACGATGGGCAGAAGGACATCAGTGTGTAGAGCATTATTTATTTTAGAGGTTACATATGTGAAAAAAACTTATGACAAACTATTTTTGCTCAAGCCAGCCTTTTTTTTTTTCCACGAAAAACACAAAAGTTGGAAAACACTGACCAGCTGTGATAGAGCAGCAGCACATGCACTTGGCATTGGGGATGTGCACGTGCCACCACCGTCTGACAGTGCCCGAGCACAGGGACCTGGCCCTGGAAGCCCACACGACCCTCTCCAGGGAAGCTCACATGATACAGACCAGCTGTACCGACGGCTCCTAAAGCTGCTCTGAACGAACTGTTTTCATTAAAAATAGCCTGCTTGGACACGTACATTTCTGTGCGCTTTTTTGCTGTGTGTAAAAATATTAACACAACCTTTGCTTTCTGTTTTTAAAGTGAGGAGCCTTCAGGAACGCACTAAGTAACAGCCCCTGCCCCAGCGTGCTGGTGGAGCGATCACTTCGAAGCTATTTCTTATCTACCAGAAAGAAAATAATAAAAATCTCAGTGAAGAACAAGTGGGCTTGTTTCTCTTCACCTTCTCAGGCAGCTGGAGGAGTAACAAAGAGCGGCTTTCAGTTCTGTGCAGCCTTCACCAGCGAGCTGAGCTCTGATGGAGCGATGGGGCAGATGGATAGGGTGGATGGATGGACAGGGTGCTTGCAGCCCATCCGCACAGCGCAGCTGCAGCTCAGGCACAAACCAGCCGACAGAGCTGGGCACCAATCTCATGGTCACGCCTGCAGCTGCTTCTTCTGCCACACCATTTTGCTGCACCGAGGAAAAGAAGAAAAGCAACAGGAGCAGGGCAGCTGATGTGAAGCCAACCGTCAGCTTTCCTCTCCTCCTCCTGCTCTCAGCCGTTGTACCTGCACCTCAGCTGCCCTCCACTATGGGGCCGAGCACGGCCACTGCTCCGGAGGATTATCCCAGCCGAGGTTTTCTTCTCTAAGTCAGCGCAGAGCTTGGCAAGGCCAAGAGAGATGTGGGTGATTATTTGAGTCCCTTGTTCCTCCGACCGGCTTGTGCATCTCAAAAGAATGCTAATGTTCACGTCTTTATGAAAGCACTCGAGTTCATCAGCTTTGCAAAGAAGAGAAATTAAATCAAGATTTAATTGGGATATGCATGTTTTATTCATGGTACTATCCACAGGAGAAGCCAGACAGCTGAAGGTAAAGAAGAGGGGAAAAAAATCTTTTGAAAAGTTGTTTCTCTCTGATTAAATAGAGATAGTTTCTCACTTCAAAGGGAGTGCTCCTTTAATGTATTTTAAATGCTCAAATGCGCTGTTCCAATGGCTCTGTGCACCAGGCCACTGCGCACCGCTCCGGCCAGAGAGGCACCTGCTCCTGCAGCAGGCTCAGTGGATGCAGGAGAGCAGGGCGAGGTGAGCAAGCAGACTCCTTTCTTCCCCCATCTGTCCCACAGCTCCAGCACTGAGGGCACTGGGTGCCAGGCATCGCCCAGATCCTCCCTGAGCCGGGCACTGCCCAGGGACATGGGAAAAGCAGCTGGCTCGCAGCTTCTGGAGGGCACACAAGGAAGGAATGAGCTCCATTTTTCAGGTCTGCCTTCACCAATTCAGAGGCTGAGAAACAGGCGTCTCTTCCTTTTCTGTGGCTGCAACAGAAAGTGGGGAGAATGAATTTCATTCTCACTACCTCACTTCTGAGTGAAAGCCTTCCTTTATTTCTAAATTTGCATATTTTCATGTGTCTATTTTCAGGGCTACAGCAGACTCCAGCTGTGGGCAGAAGTTGTCAATGCAAAATGCCACGCAGCTCTCAGGGGAATTTTTCCAGCTGGCTTTTCAGCCAAGCCAGGAAAGTTTCACAACTGGTCTGAAAAGCAGCCTGCAGTGCTGCTCCTCTGAAAAAGTACACCCTGCTCTGCCTCCCTGCATGGGACTGGAGCTGGAAGGGACAGAGAAGATGGGACAGGACTTGTGGCAGATCTGGATAAAGGCCATCAGCCATGGAAGAGGGGACTGTGCACGTGCTTAGCACTAAGCAGGTGCTTAAACAGAGCCCTGCAGTAGATGATCTTGAGCATGCACTTAAGTGCTTTCCCCATAAAACACTGCTCCCACCCCGGTGTTAGGTAGCTCTGGGTTTGCAGTATGTCAATGGGCTCTCGACACAGCCAGGGAAGATGCTGAAGTGACTGATGACAACCACCCTTCTGGCTGCCACGGCTACGGAGGATTTTTTCTTGTCACAAAGACATCTCTGCTGGAAACCTTTCCATCTTCCACCTTTTCCAGGGCCTGGATGCCCCTCAGCTGAGACAGGAGAGAAAAGCATCCTGCCCTGGGGATGCAGGAGGGCAGCACCCAGCAGAGCTGGAAGGAAGCAGGCAGAAACACCGAGGGGCAGGGTGCAAGAGGCACACAGCTGGGGGATGCAGAAGAGAAAGGCCACGGGAGGAGGGGAAATGCAACACCAAAAAGCCACAAAAGCAAAGCTTTCAGGACACAAGGAAGTTCTGGTTCACTTTTTAGATTGAAATGTTAATGTGAGCTGCTGCAAGATAGCAGAGAATGGGGATCTGTGCAGCAATGTTTATGTCGCTCCTGGTGGGAATTTCTCTATAAAGGACCAATTGTTCGGTGCCTGTGCCTGACAGAAGTACAATTGGAAAAGTGGAGGAGAAAAGAAGAAAATCTTCTCGGTAACTTGTGCCCTTCAGAAGCGGCCCCTGTCGCATTCTGTGCCTGGCGGAGCTGCCGCTGCCTTGGGAGTCTCAGATCTTTGTTAAGAAAAGGACACGAAGAGAAACACGAGTCCTCCCGAAGGCTCATTATTCAAACTGCTCCAGACCCAGCACACAAGTGCCGGTGACTTTGGAAGATGAACAATCTTATCTCCTGGGTGAAAAGGACCATTTGTTGTTTACTGTCCAGGAGAGAAAACTCACAATAGACATGAGGAAACTTGGAAAATATCACAGCAAAACTTGCCGGGAGGGCTGCGACGTGGGGAGAGCAAGGAGTGATGCTGCTGAGCGGGGCAGGGCTCAGCACAGCGAGGGGATGTTTTTCTAGCAAACAGTGTGGGCAGCTTCCAAGGCCCCAAAACTTCTTCAGACATCTTATGGGTTTCTAGTGAGAAGCAGCTAAGGACGGAGCTGTAGATCCCGCAACAACCTGTGAGCATCTCTCCTACAGGAGCGAGCCAAAACCTGCCTAGGCAGAAATTAAGTGATCAGATTCTGTTCAAGCATCTGCCCGTGAGAAGCATTTTCTCATTGGTTTTGTTCAGCCCCAAACCAGGCAGCACCACATTGCAGGATGATAGGTGCCCCTGCACCTTCCTCCCCCAGTACCTGTGCTGCTGCTGGTGAGCAATCCCCTGCCACAGCCCAGCCCTGCAGAGGCACCTGGGTTAATTTGGAAATCAGCTCCTGCGTTCATCCCTGCCATTCCACAAATTGTGGGCTCTTTTGGAGCCGCCTCCCAGAGCCAGCCAGGCCTCCAGAGCTCTGCCTAGCTTAGACATCTCAGCCTTTGTGCTTGTGATAAAGTCAAGGCAAGAAGTGCTCTGTTATTCGTTTCATCAAAAATTGTGCACATAAATGCACGCATGTGGCTAAAATATAGTGCACATGGAGAGAAACATATAATTTATTCTAGCAACTCTATAAACAGTCCCTCAAAGAAAGGGCTTCTTTCACTCAATAATGCATCCAGGACCCTCAGCAAGGACCTCTGGGCGCAGTGGGAGGTGGGAGCACCAGCACCAGTGCTGATTTAACAGCAGCATGCCTGGGGTTATCCTGTCCTCTGGGGACAGGGGAGGAAGAGATTACACAAAGAGAAACGCGCAGGTCAGTAGCCCGTCTCCCTGCCAGAGGAAGGTGGGAGCAGGAGCACAGAAGAACATAATGGACCACAGGGCTGTCCTCCTCCTCCTCCACAAGGAAAGGAAATAGCAGGAAGAGAGGGGAGGATGAGGAGAGAAGAGCTCAAGCTGAGCATCCTCAGCCACCCTCCAGAGCAGCAGCACAGCAAGCGCCTGCAGCACGTCCTGGCAGCAGCCCTGCCTGGCTGTCCTGGGGCTGCTGGCAGATTTGCAGCCAGTGTTTGTCTTTGTCACTTGTTTATTTGGAGAACGCAATGCCAGCACTGGTTTAGACTGGTCTCTGTGGTAGCTGGAGGAGAGCAATCCAGGTCCCCGGAGAGCTGGCGGCTGGGCAGCGGCGTGACTCATCATGGGCACAGAGTTAATCAAAAGAGGTTTTGCATCCCTTCTTCCCCCCCCCTCCTGAATGGCACCTCTTAATGATAAAAGTCCCCGTGGTTTATAATTACCAGTTTGACAAGTTCACAAGTTCTCTGTTAATTATTATAATTAGCTTTCACTCGGTGAGAATGCAGGAGTTTAACAACAATATTAACAATGGGAGGACTATTATCAAGAATTAACTACAAAGAGCCGACTAGAAAGAGTTCCTCCTGCCTGCCGGGGAGACCTATTAGTGAGGAGCCCTGCTCTGCTGTCCTCAGCCTTGCTTAACTCAGCACTGCCTTGAAACTCGCTCGGAGAGTTAAAAGCAACAGTTGCATCCACAGAACTGGTAATGGAAGGGAAAAACTCACCCTGTGCTGCTGGGAATAGGACTGAGATTCCAAGCAGCAGATAGGAGGAAATTACAGTCGCAGGCTGCCAGGGACCACAGCCACACACCAGAGAGGAGCCTGGTGCCACATTTGCACAGCCACGTGGCACGCATGGCACCAGCAGCAGGGTGGCTGGTCCCCAGTACATGCCCTCACCCGGGGCTGCCCCGTGAGCCCCAACCTGTCAGCAGAGGCAGGTGGGATGTGGAAAGTGAGGTGCAGGCCAGCACTCCTGAAAGCAGGGGGTTACTCAGCGAGTTCAGCACAGTGCCTCCTACAAGCATCCCTGGAGCCCAGGGCCCCCTCACCTCCCCATCCCCACCTGCAGAGCCCCAAAGCCAGGAGGGTACCAAAGAATTTTCGAAGTGGGAGCAGCCCAAAACAACAGCACAAGGCTGTGCTCTAGGAAGCACACAGCACCAGACAACGGGCTGAACAAATATTAGAAAAACATCAGTTTTCAGCACCCTGTGAACTGATGAAAAACACACTGACTTCTCCAACACAGCAAGACCCGGAACAGACCAACATGGTGCAACTCCCTCATTTCCAAGTTCAAATGTACACAAAATATTTATCCGAAGCGCGGGAGAGCCCAGAGAGGCAAGCTGTGCGAGTAATTAGTTATCTTGAGCTCTTTCACACCTGAAACAGAAGGTTGGAGGGTTTTTGTTTTGCTATTTTCTTTTCCTAATCGCACCTTAGTGAAGCAGCAGCAGTGACCGAGAAGCTTTGGGAATTGACATTGCCAACAAAAAACACCTTCCGAAACACACGGGAATGTACCTGAGCCTGGGACTGGGACCCCACTCCTGAGGAGCAGAGGCTCACGTGCTGGGGAACCCACCCAGACCCCCTGGGCTCTGGGCTTCTTCCCTGGCTGGAGAGCTTCACGTGCTTGTCAGGCAGCACGTACTGCGCACACTGTTTGTGAGAAATACTCCATTTCAAATACACACACTTTTTTTTTTTTTTACTGTAAACATGTTTTGATGAAAGTCTCAGTGAAATATTTTGAAGTTTCTGAAATGGAGTGCTTTAGTGTATACTCTATGAATTTCCTTGGAGTAATTTCTGTCTGAGGGATTTAAATTTGCTTTTACATCCCAAAAGCAGAATGGGGGAAAAAAAACTTGAAACCACTAAGATTCCCTGCAGAGAGAACAGGCATTTCCCAGCTACATCTGTTGAGGGAAGAACAGCTACAGAGCCTGAGGTCTGTGAGACAGCAGCAAGATAAATAGCTTCATGCCCTGCCAGCCCGTGCTTAGACCTCTCCCCCCACACAAACATCCACGCTGCATGCCAAGCACTTTCTCCTGGGACAACAACCCCTCAGCACCCGTCTCTGAGCACAGCAAAGCCCCTGACCCCAGCATCTCACAGCACTGCACCAAGGGCTGAAAGCTGCAGCAGGGTCTGAGTCCTGCCAGGGCCAGCTCCACGCACACCCACCTCAGTCCTCATCCCTGCTTCACTCCTAGCAGCAGGGATTTATTCATGAAATTCCCCAGGGAATAAATTCTTGCAAACATCTCAAAACTACAGACAGAGGTAAGGAAAAGACCACAAACAAGTCAGATGTTATATATATATTCATTCATACACACACACACATATATAATATTTTATATATATAGCAAGTGGAAATGCAGAAGAACAGAGGAGACAATTTCAGTGCAGAGTGTGTGCTGTTCATGATGTGTGGAAAGCATCCGTTCTCTTTCCGGGGAATTATTAAAGGGTTAGCATCAGGGAACAAATAACTTTTAAATGAAGGAATTCCTTTTGCTTTGCCCTTGCAAACAAATCATTGGTTAACAGGAGCATCAGTGTGGAGATGCTGGACTGCTCCTCTCTAAGCCTTCTGGGAAACTCCTTTGAACACTTACAACATCAGAGCATAGGACCTGATTTGTTAGACAAGCCTGACTTTATTATTTTTTTAAAAGGGGGATATTATCTTCTGCCTCCAAAGGAAAGGGGAAGAGGAAAAAGCCACTGATACAGAAGGGGGTAGAGATACAGAACCTCATTATTAAACAAAATAAATAAAATATACTAGCAGAAAAAGTGTCTTGGCTTTATTACTATATTCTGTCCTCTAAATATTTCATTTCCAACTAATGCACAAGCCAAATGGAAAAAAATCAAGCAAAACTGCACTACTTAGAATATACTTAATTATTGATTCAGCCAAGAGGGAAAAAAGGAAAGAAAATAGAGGGGAAGGAAAGGCAAGGAGCTGTTGGCAAGTTCTCTGTCCTGGAGCTGCTGCTTCAAACCCGAGCAGCTCTCTGGTGAGAACAGAGCATCCCAGCTGCCCACAGCCCATGTGCTCCCTCAGGTGCCAGAGCCAAATGTTGTCCCTTTTCCTCCATTTCAAAGGCAGAGCCCAACACAAAGCAGAGCATGCCACATGCTCGCTGTCACCCACACTAATTTTTCTAATTTTTTTTTTTGCTTCCCTTCCTCAGAAGCACAGGCCCAGGCACTGCCAGCCCCAGAGAAGTTTTGCAGGGCAGGGAGAAGCAGAAGGGCTGCTGGTGCTCTGGCTGGGTGCTCTGCCTGTACTCATTTATTCACCAGTCCAGAATTTTGCTTCCTCTTAAAACCATTTGCACAAGACATTCCCAGAACATCCTTCCCTCAGAAACACTGCCTCAGCGGTTAAAAGCTGAAAACACACTGGAGCAAAGAGCTTCAACTCCTGCTAGCAACTGCCAGCATCCCTCCCTGGGGACGTTCTGCCTTAGACAACCCTTGCTGGCTTCCCAGCTCGCTGACACACAGCAGCAGACACGGTACGAGATATGAGATTAGAAGCGACTCACCCGAGCTGTCCCCAACCTTGTCAGCATCCTCATCTTCATCCCTGGGCACGGCAGCACCAAACCAACCCATCCCCAACCAAGCCAAGCAGAGGCAGCCCTTTGTAGGGTCTATTTATACCGAAGTGCCAGCAGCTGGAAACAGGCGCTTTCCACCACCATAAAGGGGCAAACCGAGCACACCTGTGCTGGGGGCACCAGCAGGAAAAAAAGCTTTGGACAGCAGAGGAAGGGAACAGAGAATAGGAAATCAATGGCGAGTTGAGGCCAGAGAGAGCAATTAGGCCTGGGAGCCCCGCCGCTCACTGAGACAGGAGTGAGTTTTTAAGTGTGTGTTGAACCAGATTTGTGTGCTTACACAGGGCTGAAAATCTGCCAGACAAGGCAGTTTAACAGCGTTGCCACTTATAGGGAGAAAAACCTAAGCCTCAGTGCATCTGCAAACAGACTCAAGGGACCCGATTTTCTTTCCCTGCTGGGTTAAGCCCAAAGCAGCAGTTCTGAAGTTGTGGGAATTGCACGGGAGGAAACAGAGGGGAAGGGATGACTGCAGCTGGCAACGAGCACAGAGAGGAATGAGCTGTCAGGGCTCAAAGGTGTTCAGCAAGTAAAATAAAATAAAATAAAAAAATAGGCAGAAATACCAGGTCTGACATTAACTTTCATGCTCGCGCTCCCTTCCAGCAGGTATTTGCTGAAGGAAGAAAACATTTTGGTCATTGTTTTTTTTGTGGAAATCCTGCGGTCCATGTTTTAGAACAAAAGGCAAATGGAAACACTGACAAAACCCATTTCTAATTCACAACAAAACGTTCCCCTGAATACATCAGCTCGGAGTCTGATTTCTCACAAGCTTGTCGCTGCCATCACCTGCATCTGCCCTCCATCTCCTAGCCTGGAGAACCATCCACCTTTCCATATTCAAATCCTTCCTAATAAGCTAATTTCTCCCACGAGACACGGTTTATTATAGAGGCAGCAGGCTGTTAACCCTGCCTCTGCACAACTCTCCGTCATCCTTCCCAGTGCCTCCCTGGCACCGTGCCTGGGGTGCATCCAGCCCCAGGGTGCCCGGACAGGAGCTGCTCAGGGCTCTGAGCATCCTGCAGGTCCCACATGCCCCCAGTGCTGTGGATAACACGAGTGTGCCCATGTGTGTGTGCCCACAGGGGTGGCGGGGCTGGCAGCGAGTGTCCAGCTGTGCACCCAACCCCTCCTGCAGGCACATTATTTATTTATTAATTTACCTGCTCGGGGGCAATTATTGCTGGCACAAGCATGAGCTGGGGCCACCTGCACAGGTGGTGGCTCTGGGACACAGTGGCAATGCTCCTGAGCTAAAATGCAATTTTGTAGGGTTTACAAGGAGACAGGGTGACAAGATGGGATGTGCCAGACAGGACGCTCATTTCCCAGTCACACCAAACTGGGAGCTGTGGTCTGAGTCTCCCACACAGGTGATTTAAAGCCCCTCTTTCAACCACCTTCAGCTTTCATCCCCCTAATGTCTATATATCTCGGTGTCTAGATGTTTCAGTCTATACTTCCCTCTCTCATTCCTATATGTGCTGACCTGTCTTCATGCCCACCGACGAACACAAAGCAGACCTGCCTGTGAGTCTAGAAGGAGGATAACAAAAGCTGGTGCAGGAGGCTTGCATTTCAATGTTTTTTGTGGGAGAAAGGCAGCGGGAGAGGCAGCCCTGTGTTTTCCAGCTACCCAGATCTAAATATTTATAAGTGACTTTTGAGAATGCCTGACCTTCTCCAACCCCTTCTGATGAGCTGCCACCAGGCTCAGCGCGGGAGCAGGGGGGCACCGTGGAAATTACCGGCACGGCCCCGCAGGGCTGGGGAGCAGCTGGGACGTGAGCCGGGGAGCGGCCCCCACGACGGGCACGCTGAACGGGGAGCAGCACGCCTGCAACGCCAACTGCAGATTCAATTAGAAATTTCACTGAAATTTCAAATTATGGCCTTTTTTTTTAAGTGACAGAATTATGCTGTGTTAGAGAGAAAGTGACAGGTAATTTGGGACACTAAGGATTTCTTGGACTCGGTAGTTAATAGGGAGTTTAGCACCAATTCCTCTGTAATTTGCACTTCTGAGAAACCATGTTATTATAAAGTCAGAAATCCCGAGCACTTTCAACTCCGGATCTGCCAGACTGAGGATGACCAGGAATTGAGACGGCCTGCGCCCACAGGTCACCCATTTCAATATCTGAGGCTGGGTGGCTTCCAAATGCGGCCGCTCCAATTGAGGAGCTGAAAATTGGAGGTGACATTCAGAAGTCTCTGAAAATTATAACCCTGACTTCCTCCTTGAAAAGCTTATCTGAATCCTAGCTTATCCTTTGATGAGGTTACTGAAAAAGCATTCTGTTCCTAGTACTTGAAAGATAACAGGCAATATACGACACACTTCTCCCTGGGGGGAAAACACTATCGAACACGCCGAGCATGGGACGCTAATTAAATGGTCTGAATTATGCTGGACATTAAGGTCCTGGGGTGGCTTGGGTTAACCCCTTCCTGTCCTCGCACTCACAGGGCTCTTGTTCAGGAAGAGGACTCCTGTGAGGAGCCGTGGATGAGCAGCCTCAAGGAACCCCCAAGACTTTCATTAGCTAAATAAATTGCCTCCGGAGACCAAACCCACTTTACTTCTGGAGAGACCATAAGCAGAGACCCTGGCTAATCCTGTCCATTGGTAAAGATGTGGCAGTGTTTAAATTTTTGCTTAAATTTAAGCAAATGCTTGGGTTTCTTGGATTCTAATGGATGTTAAGCCCATAGCTATGACCAAACATCTTCATGAGCTTCAGGAAGGAAAGAAAAGTGAGTGGAGAAAGAAATACTGTCATATCAGAGAAAAATGGCAAATTCAGTAATGCTTAATGGGCTGGCAAAAAGGCTATGAAAATTGACCCAACTCTATTTGTGAGGGAAAATAATGTGCCTACTTTAAAAACTAGAGAAGCAATCACAGCTCAGAGGGGGGCAGGGAGAAGGAAAGAAAATGCACTAAAATACAAGATACTATGGCAAAATCGGTACTAATTGCCAGGAGCCAAAGTCCTTCCCTTGCAGCAGCAGCCATAGGTGGAAACAGCTCTCGTGAAGGCGAATGTCTCATGAGGGCTGTGCCCTCCTGATATGCTTCCCTCAGAGGGCACCCTGCTGCCATGGGCTCATCCCCAAATAACAGCAAACTGGCACAGTATGGATCTGGGCACCAGTTTGGGGAGGGATAGGAAAAAACTATTCCTGCAATGTAGCATTTTAACAATGGTAAATTATGCTCTACACAAAGCCTCCTCCTAAACCTCTAACATGCTTCCAAGATGCACAGTATCATTGCTTCCTCACCTGCAGGGCTGTACAAAATGTGCCTTGTGTCACCCGTCCTCCTCAGGCAAAGGCTGCAAACCTTTGGCCTTGTGGCAGCCGGAATTACAGCATGATTTGGCCCTACTTTCAACTTTAAATAACTTATGACAATTCAATACCCAATGTAAGATGGAAGCAAGGTTTGAAATGTATAAATTATTGGTTACTAAATGAAAAGCAACTTGAGATAGAGGTTTTCATGACAAGCTGCTGAATGGGTCAATCTCTGTGCAAACGTTTGGTATGATTAGTAGACAAGTGCAATCCCAGAGCGCAGAGGGCTTGTTTCCAAATAAAGGAAACTTTGCCTCCAAAGCTCACGACAGTGCTTGGGCTTTGTGTGCGAGAGTGGTCATTTCATGGGCATTTCAGAACAGACAAAATTGAAAGGTTCCAAACCACAAAGGAGAGCACAAAGAGAAAATTGCACAAAATTAGAAACTTTTAAGGCAGAGTTTGAATTTGTACCAATCAAACTGTGCTGGGGGAAGTCCTCTGAGAATGCAGAAAATGGCTCTGGCAGGATTATGAAGTCAGCCCCAGGGATGCTGGCATCTCGCATCAGGAAGGGTTTGGATCCGGCTCCAGCGTGGGCTGCAGACCACGCTGCTGCCTGCAGATGGTCGCAAAGGCACAGTCCACATCCCATCAAATGCCTCATTTAAAAATATTGAAGCACCATGAGCAGTTGTTTCCCTGCTTTTTTCACCACCAGAAGCCACTTTTGTGTGTCCCTGGCAGGAGAACCAAAGCCCCCCCTGCAGCCATCCCACGGGCAGCCCTCCCCACCCCAGGGCCAGCTCACCTGGATGTGCCAGCGCTGCTTCTCTTCTGATGACTTTGTGGCTGAAAAAGCAGACAAAGGGAACAAAAATATTTTAATGGCGTAATTCATTTTAAAATTAGCTCTCTCTTAATGCTGCCCCACCCTCCAAAATGCCGATAATTGTTTTCTGGTTCCCTGCCACATTCCCAGCCAGCGCCTTCAGCACTTCAGGCACCGCTGTGTAAGATTAGCCGGGAAGTGTTCTGAGTGCCTTACATCAAAGGGATTGAAAAACTATAAATTTAACAGAATGTATTATACAGGTGGGGGAAAAATTGAAGTTCTGTTAAAAAAGCAGAGCTCATTTCACTCTGTTCTGGGGCAGGGCTCAAGGCAGTTAATGTGTCTCTGGGGAAAGGCTCCAGACTGCTACTGCTCAAACAGCCTCGAGCCTGGAAAATGGGGGAAGAGCAACAGGTGGGAGAAGTCCCCAAGTCCACTGAAAATGGGGAAAAGCACGCGGTTTCAGCAGGTGGTGGGAAGCCTTAGGTGGCCAGCATGTGTCAAGTTGGAGGTGAGGCTTTTGGTGCAGCTCATGGAAGCTCAGATCTCTGCACCTCCACCAGCAGGCTCCTGAATTTGGCTCCGGAGACGTCCTGTGCAGGCAAGGGAGCCCCAAAGGCAGGGGCAGGGGCAGGATGGGGGCAGCTTTTTGTGCCCTTCTGTGTCCAGAGGCTCCGTGTGGAGCACTGGGGGCACTGATCCCCTGTGTGCGAGGGGCAGTGCAGGAGGGCACGAGTTGGGGCAGCATCGGGTGGGCACCCAAGGGGGGCTCCCCCTGCAACGCCTCCTGCAGCCACCTGCAAAGTGCAGATGGAGGGGAGAAGATGAAAACAGAGGAGGAAAAGATGAAGCCAGGAGGATCAAAGGTTAGGAAAATGTTTTGCGAATTGCCCGTGACAAGCTGCCACCCTTAATCAACCTCTCC